CCAGTTACCATGCTGACCCTGTGACCTTCCCAGTTACCATGCTGACCATGTGACCTTCCCAGTTACCTTGCTGACTGTGACCTTCCCAATTACCTCGATGGTCTTGTGACCTTGGGTACATGAATTTAAACCCTTTGGCCTCCTTTTCACTATTTACAAAGTGGGCTAAGAACACGAGGTTCCATCCTAGAGAATCCGTGTACATGAAGACTGAGTTAGAAGGAAAAGTACATTTGGAGAGTGGCGGTAAAACAGGCTGGAGGGGGACAGTTCACGGTGGGTGGGGAGGCCGGAATTCTAACTGGGTAAATGCCATCTGCAGACTCCGGACGCCCAGCGCTCCCCCCCCCCCCCCATGTTGTCGCACACACGCTGTAGTTCCTCTGGTAATATCGCTTCTTCTTCTCCCTTAGGACCCAACTGATTTTGAGTGGAGCTTTTGGCTGGAATGGGGGAAGCGGAGGCTGGTGTGGCTCTTCCTTGGCCATGCGGCTGTGTCTCAGTTGGCCACTTTGCTCGCAAAGAAGGTAGGAGTCATGTGTCATTTGCTTTTAAGTTTCTTTCTCCTTTGGGTTTAGTGAAGAGGCCTGAACTGAGTCTGGAGACAGGGGTATCAGTGGGGAAGCCCGGGTGTTAGATTTTCGCACGTAGCTTAGACAGATAACGCCAGACCAAACGGTTCCACGAGGGGAGGTTTATTCAGGGTGGAGGGTGGGAGAGAATCTGGAGAAGATGGCGGGGAAAGAAGAGAGAGGGAGGAGAGAAGTGGAGGCAGGCCATGACCACGTGGAGAGAGGGAGAAGGGAAGCGGGGAGGGAGGAGGGGACAGGGGGAAGTTACCGGCAAGAGATCAAGGGAGCAAGAGAGTGAGGAGGGGGCAGGCAGCTCTTTTTATAGTGGGCAGGCCTACTTGGCTGTTGCCAGGTAACTGTGGGGCGGAGCATGGCTGGCTGTTGCCAGGTAACTGTGGAGGTGGAGTTTAGACAGAATACTAACACCTGGAACAAAGAATATTAGCCAAAGTGGCATGTCAGGTGACTACAACCATTGACTATAAAGGTTTTAGAGTGAAGACTTGCTTGCTTGGGAGACTATGTGGCTTCATTCAGTTCAGGAAGGAGCGGAAATTATATTGATGGTAAATACAAGGCCTAGAGAGACGGCTCAGCTCAGCAGCCAAGCGCTGGCTGCTTTCCCAGGGGACCTGGGCCCTATTCCCAGTACCCACATGGTGGTTCACAATTGTAGTGACTAGTTTGATTTTTTTTTTTATTACAACTTGAGATAAGCTAGAGTCGTGAGAGAGGAGGGAGCCTCAATTGAGAAAATGCCTCCATAAGAGGTAGGGCATTTTCTTAACTAGAGATTAGTGAGGGAGGCACAGCTCATTGTGGGTGGGGCCATCCCTGGGCTGTGGTTCTGGGTTCTATAAGAAAGCAGGCTGAACAATCCAGTAAGCAGCATCCCTCCATGGCCTCTGCATCGGCTTCTGCCTCCAGGTTCCTGTTCTGTATGAGCTCCTGACTTGACTTCCCTCAGTGATGAACCATCACCCAGAAGTATAAGCTGATCACACAATACACACAAACACACACACACACACACACACACACACACACACACACACACCACACGAGCCGACTTGGTCATGGTGTTTCATCACAGCCATAGAAACCCTAAGACAACAATGGTCTGTAACTCCAGTTTCAGAGCATCAGTAGCCTTTATCTGGCCTCGAATGTGTTGTATAGATAAACACATATGCCAGAATTCATACATGTAGAATAACAATAAATCTTTTAAAATGTAGCGGTTGAGCTGGGGAGTTACTGTGGGTGACTTACTTACTGTGTAAGCACAATGACCTGGGTTTGATCCCCAGAACCCACATGAAGAATGGTTGGATGGTGCCGATGCCTGAAACAGTAGCACCAAGGGGCTGGAGACAGGGGGACCCCAGGAAGTTGCTGTCAGCCAGTCAGGCCCACTTAGCTGTCTCCAGGCCAATGAGAGACCCTGTAAGAAAACAAGGTGGATGGTCCGGAGGAACAATTGACCTCTGACCTGTGCACACATGTGCTCATAGGTGTGCAGGAACACCACACACACACACACCACATACATGTACACACACATACACACGCATACACACACACACACACAACATACACACCACACACATAGACCACACACACCACACACACACCACAGGCATATACACATACACACACACACACAGCACACACACAGACACACACACACCACACACACAGACACACATCACACACACCACACACACAGACACACATCACACACCACACACACAGA